TTGAATTATGTGATTTACCTATCATTAAATTAATTTATATAAATTTAAAACACCAATAATAACATAGTACATTGGACATAATCGGGAGCTATACAATATATTCCCAAAGATATAGAAATTACCTAGCTCAGCCATAAGTTCTGTTAGAAATGAAAAAGCATTTTTTTAATGAACTAATGTAATATTATTACAATTTATACCTACCTATTTATGAAAGACTCAGCAAAAAATAATAATATTCTATTTGAAATGGCCATCTTTGGCTTTTATACAGGCCTTTAATCTGTTTGACCATGAATCTATGGATGTACGCAGTGTTTCCGAGGCAAATTTCGCCACGGCTTGCTCCAAAGATTTTTTAAGAGACTCAATGTCGCCGTGTCGTTCAGATCCTCCTTTTTCACAAAAATGTAGTTGTGACTCCTTGATAACACACGCCCCACCAAACCATTACTAACGCAGGATGATGACCACGTTGTACCTTTCCGACCACTTGAGCAGCTTCTTTAGAACTGTGAGCGTACACTTTAACATTTTGCTTATTCACTACAATTTCTTCAATCGTTCAGGCGTTTTGATCGATCCACTCTCTTTAATTGTATAGATTGTTTTAGTTCCTTGCGATAACATTTTTTGCCTCCTAATGGGTTTTCGACGAATTCTGGCTTGAACAACATTAACAGTCTTTGTAGTTCTAACAGCACGCGGCCGCCCCAATCTTTTCTGGTCTTCGACAGACGAAGTGTTACTGTATCTGTTGATAGTACGTTATACGAGCATACGGCTGATACCAAGCTTTTGTAGTGTCTGGAACATGACCAACGGCTCCATACCTACTTTGTGCAAGGCGATCACTGCAATCCCATTTTTTTTTTTTTTTTTTTTATGATTGAAGGATTACTGGTGGCCCGAAGGCCTTTCCAGTTTCACCAGGACAGGTGGGCGAGCAAAGGCTCAGCCAGGAGGGGTGGGATTTGCTAACAACTGCCCGAGCGCCTCCGAAGGAGACCTAACAACTCAAGAGCAATTGTTTCGCGAATGAATCTACTACCGGATCGGAATCGCGNTTTACAATAAGTGAGCTGTTTAGGCTTACTATACTATTTGACATTGGACGGTAATGGGTAAATTAAGTAAATGAAATTACAAATTTTACAGCGCCCCCCTAACTCACATCAACGCCCCCCATTTTTTCCTGGGCCCCTTAACGCCCCCCTCTAGGTTTCAAACGCCCCCCAGGGGGCGTTATCGCCCACTTTGAGAAAGACTGGTTTAACATGTGATATGTTTAATATTAATCATCTTTGCAACATTTATTTTTTAGTTTTTACCAGTTACATTATCTGTATTTTAAAGTAAGATAAAATTATGTATTAATTTTGTTATTATAATAGTTGTCAAAATATAGGTAAGCTAAAAAAAAAACTGAAACTAAACTACGCTCTTTTGACAGTATTTATAAGAAAAATACTGGTGATACCAAATGATTCCGCATATTAACTAAATTTCGAATATTTTTGGAAATTGTACACTTTTAATGCGAAAAGACGATATCATGTTTCATAGTAGGCGGGACTTTAATCTAAAAAAGGTTTACGGGCTCATATACGATCGTATCGAAGTTGTTGACGAGTATATTTACCTGGGACACACTGTCCAGCTAGGTAAGAAGTCCAACTTCGAAAAAGAGGTCAACCGTCATATCCAGCTAGGATGGGCAGCGTTCGGAAAGCTACGTAAAATCTTCTCATCACAAATACCACAGTGTCTCAAGACGAAAGTCTTTGACCAGTGTGTGTTGCCAGTGATCACATATGGCACTGAGACGTGGTCGCTCACAATGTGCCTTATGAGAAGGCTCAAGGTCACCCAAAGAGCAATGGAGAGGGCTATGCTCGGAGCTTCCCTGCGAGATCAAATCAGAAATGAGGAGATTCGCAGGAAAACCATGGTAACTGACATAGCCCAAAGGATTGTGTAGCGGACGGTTTCTTATTTAGATATTTATATTTGTGAGGAGGAAGATTTTTACAATAAAACAAAATAAAATTATGATGCGACTTTCATGGCTGACAGTTTATTCCTACTGACATTAGAAACAAAATTTAAAAATTATAAAAATATAAATGACAGCTTTGCAACTAAACTTTTTACTGCGGTTCCGAACATGCCCCCGGATGTTGAAAGGTTTCCTTTCAACCCAAAACTAATCCGCAATCAGGGGACAAATCTTATTAAACGACCTCTTGATGACTTCGCTTGAAGTACGAATGTCTGCGACCCGGTTGACTCCGTCGGACCCTGGATAGACAGCTACTATGCGGCCCAGTCTCCATTTAAGTGGCGGGAGATTGTCTTCCTTCACCACAACCAGGCTGTGAAGCTTCAGCGATGACTGGTTGGTGCGCCATTTTGTTCTTTGCTGCAGCTCACTAATGTATTCCTTTGACCATCTGGCCCAAAAATGTTGTCGCATAAGCTCTAACCGCTGGAACCTGGTGAGATTGCTTAGCCGGCAGTCCTTGTACTCAGCAGCAGGCATTGCAGTAAGGGGCTGGCCAATGAGAAAATGCCCAGGAGTAAGCGGCATCATGTCATCGGGATCGCTTGATAGTGGAGTCAGCGGCCGAGAATTCAATATTGCTTCGATTTGCGTTAGGACAGTGATCAATTCCTCATAAGTTAAATTACAATTTCCCAATACTCTGTGCATATGGAATTTAATAGATTTAACCCCCGCCTCCCAAAGACCCCCAAAATGAGGAGAGTAAGGTAGACACAGGTGGAAGTTAATACCTTCTTCGATCAAAGCATCAGGCAAAGAATTGCAATTGGATTTTAAGAATGTACCGATTTATACGCACCGACGAATGACGTACCATTGTCCGAATATATATGAGTAGGCTTAACTCTCCGTGATACAAACCGGCGTAGCGCAGAGAGAAAACTATTGCTGGTTAAATCACCTACTAATTCTATATGGATCGCCTTTGTTTTGAAACCTACAAAAATCGCGATGTAGACCTTAACGATTCTACAACTTCGACTAAGGCGGTTAGCGGACGAGATGGGTCCAGCGTAGTCGATGCCTACACACTCGAACGGGCGACCAGGAGTGAGGCGGTGCACAGGTAAATTTCCCATAAGAGGAGTAACTGTTTGTGCTCGCATGCGAATACATCTTATACAATTGTGGTAAGTGGCCTTGGGCAAATTGCGACAGCCAATAGGCCAGTAGACTTCTCTTATAGAAGCTAATAATAGTTGGGGTCCAGCGTGCATAAGCTTAATATGTTCAGCCTTGAATACGAGTTTTGTGAGAATGTGAGTGGACTGTAGGATTATAGGATATTTTTTCTTATACGAAAACTCCGACGCGTTTCCAAGCCTGCCACCAACCCGCATAATTTGAGCGTCATCAAGAAAGACATTGAATTTGTTGAGGGGAAGCGGGCTAGTTAATCTGGTATTGATAGAAGTTATAATTGAAATCATGAAACTGTAATGACAACTAAAATGAACTATACAGTCACACTATTATGTACACACCTATAATTAATAAATAAATAATAATTTTACAAGTGTGAAAGACAGACTATTACCAAAAAAATGCCAACAAAAACACATTAAACAAACCACATAGTTAACCCAGCTTGTAATATGATAAATATAAATAATCTAAACAAAAAACAGAGTAATGGGTTACACATCACTAATATGTCCTGAATATCAAACTTTGATCACTTCCCTTATTTCCTGGGTATCTCGGCTCGATGGACCATGTAGCGGACGGTTTCTTATTTAGATATTTATATTTGTGAGGAGGAAGATTTTTACAATAAATTAAAATAAAATTATGATGCGACTTTCATGGCTGACAGTTTATTCCTACTGACATTAGAAACAAAATTTAAAAATTATAAAAATATAAATGACAGCTTTGCAACTAAACTTTTTACTGCGGTTCCGAACAGATTGCGACACTGAAGTGGCAGTGGGCAGGACACATTGCTCGCGGAACGGATGGCCGTTGTGGCCAGAAGGTTCTTGAGTGGCGACCGCGTACTGGGAGACGTAGCGTGGGTAGGCCTCCCACAAGGTGGGCCGACGACCTATTGAGGTTCGCGGGGATCCGCTGGATGCTGGCAGCGCAGGACCGGTCTTTGTGGCGAGGCTTGGGGGAGGCCTATTTCCAGCAGTGGACGTCCATGGGCTGATAGAATAGAAAAAAAATACGATCGTATTCTATTTCTTCGTAAAGGACATCAACTGTTACTAATTTATAAATAACATTATTAATATTAAACTAGAATCTTTTAACGTATTAATTAAATCAATAATAATTAAATCAATAATTAAAATTCAATTAATCGAACTCAATAGATACAGTGACGATGTTAAAATATTTATAAAACAAGTTTATATTAAAAATGTTCTATGTTTTTATTCTCTTCAGTAGACCAGCCATTTGTTGAACACTTCATAAAGGGATTTGTCTGACTGCGTTCAATATTAAGAACGTTTGATTTAGTATTCCTCATTACTGAATCTACCTTTTAATAATTAAATATTGCTTTGTTTTATAAAACACCGCTGCGTCAAACATATATAATGTTTTTAGACCACATGCACCGTGAATTTCGTGATTCCATTTTTTTATTGGTGAGATGGGTGTACGAGCTCACAGCCCACCCGGTGTTAAATGGTTACTGGAGCCCATAGATATCTACAATGTTAATGCGTCACCCACCTTGAGATATATGTTCTAAGGTCTCAGTATAGTTACAACGGCTGCCCCACCCTTCAAACCGAAACACATTACTGCTTCATGGCACAAATAGACAGGGTGGTGGTACCTACCCGTGCGGACTCACAAGAGGTCCTACCATACCACCAGTAAAAATTACGCAGTACAATGAAAAGTCTAAAGATAAATTATTCCGCCACTCTAAATAGTGGGTTCAACCGAGTTCTGTCACGATGATTATTTTCGCCACCAGGACTTCCGGTATGGAGGGTAGTATAACAGTCAACGGTATGGAGCGTAACCTGTCCAGTTTCCGGAAGCTGTCCTGCTACATCATGCAGGATAATCAGCTTCACGGCAACCTAACTGTCGAAGAGGCCATGGGCGTGGCGACATCCCTCAAGCTGCCAAGTTCCACTACGAGAGACGAAAAAGAAATGCTGGTGAGTCAACATAATCAAAAATGAATGAAATAACTTTGGACTAGTTACATTTTTTTGGTATTTTTATTATGACTAAGTGGTCCCGCAGTAGTCGAAATTCGACTTTAATTAATTTAAATTATAAATTTGAACATTATTATGGTTCTATTGTCAAAGACATAAACTTCTTTATTCACAGATTTCACCAAGATTACACTATATACCAATAATATTAAAGACAAACAATACATATTAATCTATTCTCAATTTGACCACAGACTTTAAATAATAAAAGTTTGATAATAAACAAAGTATACATGTATTTAAGTGTGTGTTTGTCAAATAGATGTTAGTGTGTGTAATGTTTTTTTATTGATTTAAGGTTTTTTTTATGTATAATTTAAAAAAATATTTACATTCTGCACTCCTTCTCTATCTTCTCTATAAGTGTGGGAAATTTCATACTGCTCCGTACGCGCAATTTTCGTAACAAGGGGTATAAAGTTTTTGCTTCACGTATTTAATATATAAATATATTTTTCTATGCACGTATAAGTAGAATTTAAATGAATGAATCCATAGCTCGTGTTGATAGCCTCGACATTTTCTATTACTAACGCGTTGCCCGCCACGCGTATGCCATTTTCGGCCCAGTCTCAAACTATCCGTCTCGTGTATAGTATTAATATTAATACCCAACGTGACCAGCTCGATATGCGTTAAGAAAAAAAATACACCGATCTATTCGTTCGCAGATTCTCACTCAATGTTTTTATCTTCAAACTGTATCATAGTTTTACGTCACATAATATGTCAAAACAGGTATCATAATTGAATAATAATATAAGAATTATTAACATTAATGTGCCTTCACCAAGTTTCGACCGGTTTTTTTTCGAGTTAATAAGACTGGTGCGGGCAAGTTTTTTGTTTAGATTTCAATCTCAGTTGAATGTCTCAATCGGCCTTAAAAAAGGCGTAGGGGTTTTGGAAAAAGACAACAGTGTTGTTTTTATAATATGTTCGAAGTCTTCGTGGCCTAAAGGATAAGACGTTCAGTGCATTCGTATCTTGCGATGCACTGGTGTTCGAATCCCGCAGGCGGTTACCAATTTTTCTAACGGAATAAGTACTTAACAAATGTTCACGATTGACTTCCACGATGAAGGAATAACATCGTGTAATAAAAATCAAACCCGCAAAATTATAATTTGCGTAATTATTGGTGGTAGAACCTCTTGTGAGTCCGCACGGGTAGGTACCACCACCCTGCCTATTTATGCCGTGAAGCAGTAATGCGTTTCGATTTGAAGGGTGGGGCAGCCGTTGTAAATATACTTGAGACCTTAGAATTTATATCTCAAGGTGTGTGGCGCATTTACGTTGTAGATGTCTATGAGCTCCAGTAACTCCTCCCAGTAGCTCCAGTAAGCTCCACTTAACACCAGGTGGGTTGTGAGCTCATCCACCCATCCAAGCAATAAAAAAAAAACAGGAAAACTCTTAATCTAAAGTATTCTAAATACCACGTTCAAGATACTGTGTTAGGTTCAAAGTTTTCTAATTATGCATGTGTGCGTGCTCACGAATTTCCCAAAATTTACGTTTGACTTAGAATTTAACTACATGAAACTAGCCAATGAGGATTTAGCTAAATCGTCTGAAAGGTAAGTTTTGGATGTGGTCTATCAAAAATATAAAAGCTTACATATTTGTCGCGTTGCGAATAATGTGGTGGGTTTCTTCTTTCCCAGACCGAAACGATCCTTCACACCCTCAGCTTGATGGAACACCGTAAGACCATGACTTCGAACCTGTCCGGGGGTCAAAAGAAACGTCTCTCCATCGCTCTGGAGTTGGTCAACAATCCACCTATTATGTTCTTCGATGAGCCTACATCAGGTGCGAAAGCTCTATCTTAATTCATTATCTTTTCAAACTTTTGTAACTAAAAACAAATAAGAGAAGACAAAACAGCTAAATACTATTATTCCTTCTATCTTTGTCTATCACTAATAAATACTCTTTGGTTAAAAATAGCCGATATTGAATTAGGAGTATCGAAGGAATCACGAGTATTCCTAACAAAAAAAAACCCAAAATAGGTATGTCACTTTTCACACCAAAGTTCATTTTAAATTTAATCTTGATTTCTTCTAATCTGTCATATATATATATATATTTTTTTATAGCCCTTGTAGGCAGACGAGCGCACGGCCCACCTGATGGTGACTGGTTACCGTCGCCCATGGACTTCAGCAATGCCAGTGGCAGAGCCAAGCCGCTGCCTACCGCTTATCATATGTTATTGTTCATTTTTATCATGATTATCATATGTTTATTTTTGGTTGATTATCCGCTTTCGTCCAAAGGTCTGGACAGTTCTTCGTGTTTCCAATGCATCTCGCTGCTAAAGACGCTCGCCAGCGAGGGCAGGACCATCATCTGCACCATCCACCAGCCCTCCGCCAGGCTGTTCGAGAAGTTTGACCATCTGTACACGCTGGCGGACGGCCAGTGCGTGTACCAGGGCAGCACCGGGAGATTAGGTACGTAAGGCGTCACGGATGCGGTCGCGAGTGTCAGGAAGCTCACGTAGCGACATCTATACGTCTGGAAACTACATACCCGATCCTGTACAGCGAATGGTAAACAGTCGACGTCGCCCAAAGCACGTCATTACGGATCCTCCCGATCCATTAACGGTGCTTTTAGGTACCACAAGCACCGGTCACTTGCGACGAAGGGCTCGACGAGCGAATTAACCCACAGACACAGCCCACTGAGTTTCTCGCTGGATCTTCTCAGTGGGTCGCGTTTCCGATCCGGTGGTAGATTCTGCGAAGCACTGCTCTTGCTAGGGTCAGTGTTAGCGACACTCCGGTTTGAGACCCATGAGCTCACCTACACACATTACGGCGAAGCTGAAATAGCCTCTCAAGGCTATCAGCGTAGGTAGGAAAAAAAAGCAAACTTTAAGGCCAATGACCCTCGTTGTAAGTAATGCGCTAAACTCATTCGTTCATTGTGTTACAAAGCGTTGTGTCGACGCACTATCGACCTTGGAGTATGATGTCGAAGTCTCAATTTCGTTTAAACAAATTCCAGTACAGTATTATCTCTTTATGTTATAGACGGGATGGTGGTAGTACTTTGAGCTTCGTATAACGTTATTGTGTCTCGTATCAAGGGCGGATAGTGGTGACCAGTCACCATCAGATGTGGCGTGGGCTTTTCTGCCTACTACTAATCTCTATTCCAATTACGAAGTCCCATTTGACAGATGTCAATAATCAAGTTGTACTAGTAAAGTATTGGTATAGTCGATACTCGACGATATTGATCTTCGATTACTTATAACGAAGAAATTAAAATCGTGTCGACAGAAAAAGGATTAGCATCAAATTTAAATTTATAATTTTTTTTTATTTTTATTTAATTAGATAATATTACATGATGTTTTTATCAAGATGGAACTTATTCATCATCACTAGCCGAATACTGCTTAGTCAAATTTGAAAATTCTTTGTAGACTTAATACTGGTTATTACTGTAATGCTCGAGCAAAATATAGTTTATACATTAAAAGTAGTCATAAAGTGTAAAGTAAAGTACTTTAAGACAAATATTTTGTTTGTAAGGAAACTAGCGACATCTTGTAGCGGATGCCCCTATACTTATATGTTGTCAAAGTTTAGGTATATAATTATTGTATAACTACATATTATACAATCATTAAATGCTTTAACTATGTAGGAAATAGGAAATAGGGAAATTGAGTAGGATAGGTTTAAATACAGAACATTAAAAAAAAAAACATACGAGTCTTTATTTGTTATAAACAATTTCATTAAATTTCATCAATTTGTTGTTTCGGAAAATTTATAAAATCCTTCATTCAAAATAAAATATAGGATAGGTAATATGTTACTGCCATCTACAGGAGCAATGAGAAACTAATCGAAGCGAAGCCATCTAGTGGCCAACGCCCGTAAACATTTTTGTTGAGCGCTTGAAGTGCTTATCTATTACTAATTATTACTAATGTATTATTGCAGTCGACTGGCTTGGCAGTCTGAAGCTGCAGTGCCCTTCTTACCACAATCCGGCTTCGTTCATAATCGAAGTGTCTTGCGGCGAATATGGCAACAACACTGGCAAACTGGTGCGAGCTATTGACAACGGAAATAATGATATAAGGTACGGTATGTGCCATTGGAAGCAGACTACCATACGGCCACCTAATGGTGAGTGGTTACCGTCGCCCATGGACATCAGCAACGCCACGGACACGGTTGCCTGCCGTTGAGCACGATGCGCTAACTTCATGTGACAAAGGACATATCGTAGCGCTCTGGAAGCCCGTGGAGCGATTTCATTATAAAGCCGAATGGTGCGTGTCTAAAATTTCTAGAAAACGTTGGAAATTTATTTCATGTTTGTCTTAACGGAACACCAATAACAAAATCTAGAATGTTATCTCAAGTGCATCAAAATTTAAGTCACTAAATACAATATAATGATACTAATATTCTGTATCCTTTCTTATCGTCAAGCGAAACTTCAATCCTAACGAATGACGTAATTAATCATTTGCGACTTATTATTGTGCATTAACGGATTATCTATTTATAATTTCGTCGTATCAGCTTGGACCCAAGTGACGTCACACGCAAATTTATAGTCGGCAGCACGGGGAGGGTAGGAAGCAATTGAAACATTACAGAGTGCATAATTATTTTTTTTATTACTTAGATGGGTGGACGAGCTCACATTTTTTTTTTTATTGTTTAGATGGGCGGAGCTCACATTCCACCTGGTGTTAAGTGGTTACTGGAGTCCATAGACATATACAATGTTAATGCGCCACCAACCTTGAGATATAAGTTCTAAGGTCTCAAGTATACTTAAAACGGCTGCCCCACTCTTCAAACCTGAAACCTTCTGCCGTGAAGCAGTAATGCGTTTCGGTTTGAAGGATGAGGCAGCCGTTGTAACTATATTTGAGACCTTAAAACTTATATTTCATGGTGGATGGCGCATTTACGTTGTAGATGTCTATGGACTCCCGTAACCACTTAACATCAGGTGGGCTGTGAGCTCGTAACCAGACTCGATAACGTTTCAGAAACGGTATGCCCTTCCCGGATCAAACTCCGGACTACAACAACAAGAAGGACATGGAGGTGTCCCTTCGTGCCGGGAGCAATTGGGACAAAAACGACCTCAGCCAGGTCCAGGAGAAGTTCAAGGACAACAACTCGAACGGCGCCAACGGGCACGGGAACTTGCAGAACGGGATCCTGCAGTACGCCACTAGCGAGGTCTCTAAAGGTGCGCCCGACAGAAGACCTTAATATATTAATTTCTTTGATTTCAGTCTTCATACAAATTAACAGTATAACCAAAAACTTGGTAAGGTTAATTTAGCTTCAGTAACTTTTAGCAACAGCTACAAATCGCTGCAAACCATAATGGAATACATCCGCTTTCGGGGCATAGGCTAGCAAGCCATTGAGTAGCGAGACAGCACGATGTGTTAGAGAGTTATACATTTTTAATTATTGCACCCACTTGGTGTTAAATGGTAACCGGAGCCTATAGGCATTTGCAACGTAAAGGCCGCAACCTACCTTGAGATATAGTTCTAAGGTCTCAGTATAGTTAATGGCTGCCCCACCCTTCAAACCGAAACGCATTAAAATAGGCAGGTGGGTGGTATCTTACCCGTGCGGACTCACAAGACGTCCCACCACTATAAAAAAAACTCCACGAGCTTCGTTTGAAAAAGAATGTATTACCACAGAGAAGGGTTTCCTCACACCCTGTATATTTAATTTGATAGGCGAACCGTTGTCGTTGCAAATGGACACGGACAAGCAGGACAACGCGGCGGCCGCGCTGCTCGGCACCGAGGGCTCGCCGGAGCGGTACGCCACCTCCGAGTGGAAACAGTTTTGGGTCGTATTGAAGAGGACCCTCTTATTCAGCAGGCGAGATTGGGTAAAAACATTTTTTTGAAGTGAAACTTCTTTAGAATCGTTGTGATTTCAAACTCGATGAAACGAAATGAAACGAAACGAAAAAATAAGTCCACAGAGACACAAACACATAAATGTATAGGATTCAGCCGGCGAGAGAATGAGATAGAACACGCATTATACGTGAAGTTAAAATATCAAGATCACAGAGGGCGCTACCTCACATACTATAAAAGATGATTTACAATTATTTACTAATGACAAAATTTTACATATACTTAGACATTTAGGGTAATTGTATTTTAATTTTTCAAAGTTTCACTTCTACCACGTGTGAAATTGCACATATGTTGTTTTTCTTCTAATTGCCCAATTATAATCGACTCTATCAAACGTGACATAAAGAGTTGTTTTTGATTAATAAAAAAAAATGTTTGGACATTTTCGTGGCGGTAACAATGGTAGTACGGTACGATACAGTGATGCAATAAAGATTGCGGCTTCGTGTTGTAAAGTGGATGTCGACATTGATGTCCATGGGCCCGGTAAACTCTTAGCATAATGCAAAGCCGGGTCCCGGATGTGACGGTTCCTCCTGTTGGCTCCAGACCCTGATGTACCTGCGGCTGTTCGCTCACATCCTGGTCGGCTTCCTCATCGGGGCGCTGTACTACGACATCGGAGACGACGGCTCCAAGGTGCTCTCCAACCTCGGCTTCCTGTTCTTCAACATGCTCTTCCTCATGTACACCTCGATGACCATCACTATACTTAGCTGTGAGTGTTAATATGTATACTTCAATATGCTTACTGGGGGTAGGACCTCTTGTCAGTCCGCACGGGTAAGTATCACCGTCCCGCCTATTTCTGCCGTGAAGCAGTAATGCATTTCGGTTTGAAGGTCAGGGCCGCCGTTGTAACTATACTGAGACCTTAGAACTCGTATGAGGCCATCAGCGCAAAAGTGGCCTAACCCACAATTTTTTATATTCAAGCATATTATGACGTGTATTGGAATTTATTTAAAATATAATAATTTTTTATGCAAATCCATAATTTCACCAATAGATAACTTTATAAATGAGTCGACTATTATCAAAGCCGGCAATCTGACTTTTGGATAATTATTGGTAATTCAGAAAAACGAATTATTGACTTTGTATCCCATTGGCAGTCACAAAACTCTTCGGAACGACATCTTAGATAAATAACAGGTTAACTATTAACCTTTATTTAATACAGGTTTTGAACCGTATTCTTTGAAGGAGACGATTATATTCAAATCAATCTGTATTGACATATCAATAACATTTTTTTGTCCAAATGCACAGATTGCCACCTTTGATAATAGACGTCTCAAATATCTATAGCTTTATAAACATTATTTTTGCGCGTATTGTTTTTTTGCCTACTCAAATTGAAATTCATGAAAATTCAAACGTAATTGCCTCCATACTAACTATGGTAAGCTTAGGCCACTTTTGCGCTGACGGCCTCATATATCAAGGTTGGTGGTGGCATTTACGTTGTAGAACTTTACTGGTGGTAGGACCTCTTGTGAGTCCGCGCGGGTAGGTACCACCACCCTGCCTTATTTCTGCCGTGAAGCAGTAATGCGTTTCGGTTTGAAGGGTGGGGCAGCCGTTGTAACTATACTGAGATCTTAGAGCTTATATCTCAAGGTGGGTGTCGCATTTGCGTTGTAGATGTCTATGGGCACCAGTAACCACTTAACACCAAGTGGGCTGTGAGCTCGTCCACCCATCTTAGCAATAAAAAAAAAGTCTATGGGTTCCAGTAACCATTTAACACCAGGTGAGCTCGTCCACCCGAAACAAGCGATACATCGCTTTCAAGTGAGATTCCGTTCTGCTCTTTGTGAGCGTCGGTGAGCTCGTCTAAGTCGGTGACGATGCTGAATCGTAGCTGTGATTTTCAGTCCCACTGGAGATGCCGGTCCTGGTGAAGGAACACTTCAACCGCTGGTACTCGCTGCGGTCCTACTACTTGGCGATTACGGTATCCGACATACCGTTTCAGGTAAGATCATAAGATCATATGCATTTTGATCCATTAACGCAACAGTTAAGACAGTTGTAAGTCGGACTAAAATATATTGTAGAAGGATGCGTTAGGTAACCATTTAAAAAAAAAGGTTAACGAAAACAGTTTGATACTTGATGTCAAAGCAAATTAAAAATTGAAGGAAATATCAAAATGTCACTAAGACACATTGCATTCATAAATACACATTCCGGTATTCACAATAACTTAGTAGAAGTTATTTGTATAGCTTCTCGTGACGAGGGACTTATGAGGGTACAATGATACAAAATCTATTAAAATCTACTAATATAGTGATAATAAAAAATGCGAGACTAAACCGCGCAGTTAGTTTTAATTATGCTAACCATTCGCGAAAACCGAAAAAAATGTTGTTTGTAAATCTAAATTGTATATACTAGTGGTCCTCCGGTAGTCGGAATTCGACAATAATTAGGTAATTGAAATTATAAGTTAGTATACTATTATGATTGTATTGACTTATTATACTTCTATAATCACAGAATTTCCCAATACCACACTTTAGACAAATATTAATAAAGAAAAAAATCAATTTTTAATCTATTCTCAATTTGACCACAGACTATAAGCAATAAGAAAAGTTTGACAATAAACAAATAGTATGCATGCGTGTGTGTGTCAAATACATGGTAGTGTGTGTAATGTTTTTTATGCATAATTTTAAAAAATATTAACAATCTGCACTCCTTCTCTATGTTCTCTATAAGTGTGGGAAATTTCATACTCCTCGGTCCATGCAATTTTCGTTAAGAGGAGTACAAAGTTTTTGCTTCACGTATTAATATATTAATTTTTTTAATAGTTTTAGAATACAAGGGTGCCGCATAACATGTGTGTGCGTTCATTTCCGCAGGCCATATTCTGTATAATCTACGTGGTGATAGTGTACCTGCTGACGTCACAGCCGCCGGTCTGGTTCCGGTTCGCGATGTTCCTCTCGTCGTGCCTGCTGATATCGTTCGTCGCTCAGAGCGTCGGTCTGGTGGTCGGAGCCGCAATGAACGTGCAGGTAATAGACAATAAATTTTATGAGTTTTTTTTTCAAAACTCAAAGCTGGCATTGGTGTCTAGGAAGTCAGGTTGGGTCGGAGAATCTAATACTCGTTTGTAGTGGTGGGGTCCGGTGTGCGTAGTGCGAGTTTTTTTTAACGTTCTCGATAGCGTAAAAGTTAACTCAAATTTGTATGGGGTGTGTACGTTTGCCGCTAGAGGCGCTTGTTTATTGTCTAGAGGTGCATGTCATTCGAGTCAGTCAAAATCTTTGTAATTTATGTCATTCGAGTCGGTCATTAAAGTGGGACTTTTTGGCGGGAACGCGAGGAGTGAACTTGTGTGATTTGCTTCCACGTGCTTGCGTCCACAGCTTCTTCAGGTGATGAAAATCTCTGTCCACGCAATTTATTCTTTATTTTAGGGAAAGTATAGAAATCATTAGGGCTTAGGTCGGGGCTGTACGGCGGACGGTCTAATAATTCTATGTTTTCTTGCTCTAAAAACTCTTTTGTTCTGTGCGCGGTGTGAGAACTCGCATTGTCGTGATGGAGGATGATGCGGCGGTTGCAGTTCTCTTTACGGAGTTCAGAAACGACCTGTGGCAAACAAATGCTAGTATACCATTCTGCATTAACCGTTCTTTGTCCCTCAAGAGGAATAGTCGTAACATGGCCGGTTTTGGAGACAAACGTGGCCACCATTTTTTTTGCAACACTCCGTGAACGAACAATTTTTGTTGGCTTTAACTCATTTTCGAACACCCAAACTCGTGACTGGTTTTTTGTTTCGAGTTCGTACGCGTATATCCAGGATTCGTCACCTGATACAATGTTGTATACAGCATTCGAGGATCCTGCGTGGAATCTTTCGAGAGTTTTGACGCACAAGTAACGCGAGCCGCTTTTTGCTCTTCACAGAGCGAATGCGCTATCCATCGCGAAAACAACTTTTTTACACCTAAAATTGTTCATGCAAGATTATTTGTATTTGACTCATGCCAATGTCTAAAGTTGCCTGAATTTCGCGGGATGTCACATGTCGATCTTCCTCAATCAGCTTACGCACAGCATCAACGTTTTCTTGGGTGACTGCAGTTTTTGGACGACCTTGACGGGGATCATCACTGAGCTTGACACGTCCACGTTGAAACTCAGCAAACCAGCGATAAATTGTGGTTTTGGATGGAGCTTCATCACCAAATGCAGAAATCATCCGGTCAACACACTATTTTTGTGTTAAACCACTTCGAAAGTCATAATAAATCGTCGCTCTTGAATTTTCTCGAGTCAATTCCATTTTCTCAACGACTAAACAAGTTTGACAAAACCTCGTGACAAGACCGAGAATCTTTTTTTAAATAAATAAATGGTATTCGATTTTTAAAACTAAGGAGTTTTCAATTAAAAAGATTTTAATATGACAGGAACAGTGGAAATATTCCATTCCCGATACTTTTAGTGCAGCCTAGTAGCTTCTCGGGATCCTCCAAAAAGTCCAATGAAAAAGTCTCAGTAAATGACCACCATTTTACTGAGATTCTATTTCATCACATAACATCTCATTTGTAAATTTAATTTCAATCATTGATGATTTGATGAGATGATTTCAAATCAAATTCAAATTAATTTATAATTCATAAGCTGTAAATAATTAATACTGCGACTTATAAAAATGTTATTACTTGACGCTGGCGAATGCACAAACCGTGCCGGAGCCAAAAAAGATAAAGAAGGAACCTGTATGTTGTGATTTGTGTTCCAGAACGGTGTGTTCCTGGCGCCGGTGATGTCCGTCCCCTTCCTCTTGTTCAGCGGCTTCTTCGTGTCGTTCAACGCGATCCCGGTGTACCTGCGCTGGATCACCTACCTGTCCTACATCCGCTACGGGTTCGAGGGCACCGCGCTGGCCACCTACTCCTTCAACAGGACCAAGCTGCAGTGCCACGCGGTGCGTACCTCACCCCCTCAACGTAGCCCGTGGTCATCACTCGGAAGTCGCGCACATTTATGGTCGGCAGCTACTTGGCTCTGCTCCTGGCATTGCTGACGTACATAAGCGACGGAGACCACTTATGGTGGGACGTATGCCTGCAAAGGAAATAAAAAAAATGGAGTCATGAGCTCGAAGTGTGTTTTTTTTTTGCTAAGATGTGTGGACGAACTCACAGCCCACCTGGTGTTAAGTGGTTACTGGAGCTCATAGACATCCACAACGAAAATGCGCCACCCACCTGGATTGCGTCACTATAAAAATATATCTTTAATTGTGATTTTTTATTTTTATTTATGTATTTATTTAGGAAACCAACATTACATAACAAACAATTAGTATATTAAAAAATAACACATAATGTACATACACCTCTACTTGATAAGTATATAATACATAAGTATACATACTTTAAAACAATCTACTATTACTAATAATATACTACTACTACTACTAATATATACTTAATAATACCTTACAAACTGTCTCCAGCCAATATGTTAGAATGAGAAGGAAACTTATTTGAACTATTTATTTTCAGCCCTACTGTCATTTCAAGTATCCCCAGACCACCCTCGAGGACCTGGACATGGAAGACGCCGATTTCGCGCTAGACATAGCGGCGCTGTGTCTCATCTTCGTTCTACTGCGTATATTCGCCTTTCTCTTCTTACGCTGGAAACTCAAGTCGACTAGATAAACTAAATTGTACCTTACGTTCTTCACTTTAGGGTATAAAATCGCTGAGATGCCTATTTAAGTGCTTAAGAACAAGTCGTTTGTTAATTTCGGGTTTTTTAAAGTATATTTTTTTTTAATATTCGATAATCGAGTTTATTTTGTTGCATCGATAAAATACGATCTTTCAAACCCGAAATCAACAGCCGAATAAAACAATTAAATAAATAATAAATATATATATTATTATAGATATATATGTAAATTACATGAATGCGGTTAATGTGATAAGCGGTGAAAACAATTATTCGAATATTTATGAAAAAGAAAAATTCTATACGCGTTTTGATATAACGTCATCTAGTTAAGATTAAGTATCAGTTTTGGAACAAAAATTTCAGACTACGTACCGAAATTCAATTATAAAATATTCATTAGGAAATATGTTTTACACAAATAATTCAACCATGACAAATTATTAAATTTTATGTACAAAACCAATACAAAGTGACTTGTTTCAAAAGGGTAATTAATACAAAAAACATAATGTAAATAAACAAAGAGAAATGTGATAGAAATCATGTGATATAAAAAAAAGTTTATATACATATTATATATTTATATATAGAAGTATATACGGCATTATATATACGACATTCCAGTTTTTGCTACTATTCCTGTTTTACTCAGACCTCAAACTGAACAATGTAGAAGAAATTCAAGTAATAATTAAGATCATAATTATGCTCTTGTTATTTTTGGGTGTATTACTATCACGAGCAAATTCGAAAATGTCGCCAATAAGACGATTTATTTTTGTATTGTAGATTGACAATTACTGACGTTGACACTGACAAGAAGGTTTCTATTTACTCGAGGTCAATTTAGAGTTTGTTGTGTAGTGATATGTTGACTCAGTCCACAGGTAGGCAGATGAGGTTATCTACTGTATGGTGATCATTTGATATCTGTATTCAATTAGAATACGCGCGATGTATTGATTCTAAAGGACAACGACCGAATGTTAACCAGAACGTGTATTCATATCAAACACGACCGATGCGAATGAATGATTGAATGAAAAAGATAATCGATTTTAATAATGACAATCGTATCGAAAGGTAAATTTTTTACAGACTTTTTTATTTCGATATAATCTCTTTGAAATTGTCTTCATAAATGGCCTTCTTGAAGTGCGTCTGTTGATTAATCAATGACTGTAATGTCATATTGAGATCCTTACATAAAACGTATTTTTATAGAAGAAAAATATTTCTAATGATTTGATCATATAACTCAAGAGATGGCGCCACTAACAGTACATATGAATTTTTGATTAATATAATCCACTAAATGTCGTTACAGGGAAATCAAAATATTAAATTTTAAAAAGAATGAAAACGTAATAATACATATATTGAAAATTATTTGTTAACGAGCTTAAAAAATAAGTTTAAAATCAATAATGTTATTTATAACCAATTAATCCAATCTCTTTAATATTTATGCAAGTTTAATCAAAGAAGAAGGAGCGTTATAAATAAAACATCAAATGTATACCGTCATCACCATCATGTTATCATCAGCCCACAGTCCCAATCCACATCACTGAACCCAGTCTTCGACTCTCCCTATCCATTTCTTGCCAGTCGAAGTTCATCGCACCACCAAGCTACCAAATCTATATACTACTTCTCATATAAAATGCATACAGGGTATTAAACATTAACAATATGTCAAAAAGATAATCCTTTGTACTTGGTGATGAAAAGAAAGAAAAAAAAATGAATAGAAAAAAGATTAAATAACATTGCTTATCCTTATATGTCCTTCTTAAAATATCATATCATATCTAATGGGTACCTTATTTATATAGAGTATAATATGCAAAAAAAATATTAAAAATAGAAGATGACCTTTTCAATAATAGTTGATGGCTCTGTATCTTCTTATTAACACTGAGCTTGATGTACTTATTGGTACACATTACTGTTGCGCATAATATCAATAAGAGACATCTGGGAAATAATTAGTGCCTTATTTTAATCAAGAATTCTGAGTTAAAATTGTATATATCAAAATGCCTTAAATGATAATTATCGGGACCAATTTGTAAAGAAATGCCAAAATATTATTTTTTTAACTACAATTTGAGTAAATAAAAACTTACTATTAAACGGAATTAGCTGATATTAGGTGTTTAGTGTATAATTGTTGTATTCATGGAGTGTGTTAATAAACTGTTCGTCTAGGACTTGGGTAATCAATATTTTTGCGTTGTAAAAACAGAATTAATTTTTCGAACGAAAAAAAGGTTTTTGTCTTTCATAATAATAAGCTTCTCGCAGTTATCCAGCCAAATTCTATAGGAACTTATTATAAGACTTATTCCAGAATGCCTAGTTTATTAACTTACTATCAGGTGATATATAAATAAAATAAATATATGTATAATATTTATATATAAGAAAAATTGCTCATTAAAACGCGTCTTGCCGGATTGGTTTGTCGTTATTTACTGTATCAAAGATATTTAAGGTGCTGTTATTGGCGAAAGTGACATGCGACATAAATACATACGACTATATACGATTATATACGATTATATATATGCGACTATAGTTAATTGCGTGTAACCATGCAGCATTACTTCATCAGGTTAGAGCCCCTTGTGCTCATGTACTCGTTTGCCCTCTAAGGCTACCGACTTAGGTAGGGCAAAAAAAGAACACTAGTGTTGACACTGTTAATAGATCGCTAGGGGTGTCCGATCAGGGGGGGGGGGGTCGTTTGGTGGGTGGGTCCCTGAAATCGTCTTAGGGCGATCGGTCCCCAGCCCGAAAAAAGGGGGGACCGGTCAAAGCATTAGTTACTTGAAACTACCTGTCGCGCCACCTGTCGTCCGTATTGTCTTAGAGTGTATTGACATGACAACTATACAAGTTTGATCACAATCAGACGAATGGTTTAAGAATGCTTAAAGGATATTGTTTTTATCAATATAATTCGGAATTTTTTAAATACTTCTTAGTTACCAAGTAAAGTAAATTGAGCGGTTTGATGTTTGTAAATTAACTTTCAGAGCTACCGTTGTATCGGTTGTAAGTTTTACAGATGATTGTCATAATTATGGACACGCGAGTTTTCTGCACGATTTGTATCCGTATTGTGAAACATGGTGGGTGTGAAGTCACTGAAAAACTACATCAAGATTATTATTTTCGAATTTTATTGTTAAACTCTTGTTTTGGAAGTAAATAATATGACTTCCTTTCGTATTAATATTATTGATACATTTGTCAGTAGTCAGTGCCTTAGGGATTGTGTCAGAAAGCTAAATTATGGTATTTAATGCAACAACGTGTTTCTAGGAAGCTAATTCGACTTACACAATTTGTTAGTTTCAAATTGAAGATGAAAAGTATTTTTGAATTGAGGAAGAACTAGATAGTTTTTGGACAGACATTAGCTTTTATTTAAAAAAAAATTTCAAATTAAAAAAAAGTTCTAAAAATTACTTTGGCCATTAAAAATGAACTGCCAAGAATGTATTAAAAGTTTTCATGTCACTTTCGTCTGTAACTTAATGTTAGTTTATTGAAATGAGGGATTAAGGTAGTTTGTAAGTACTTAGCTAATTTTTTTTAAATATTTAATTAAGGTCCTTTTGAATGGTTAATTGTAATGGAATATACATTTTTAAAATTATGTTTTATACGTATGTTTTTAATAAAATTTTATGAAACATTTGCATTTTTAATACGCTTTTTTTTTGTATTGCTTAGATGGGGGGACGAGCTCACAGCCCACCAGGTGTTAAGTGGTTACTGGAGCCCATAGACATCCACAAGGTTAATGCGCCGCCCACCTTGAGAATAAGCTCTAAGGTCTCAGGTATAGTTACAACGGCTGCCCCACCCTTCAAGCCGAAATGCATTATTGCTTCACGGCAAAATTATAATTTGCGTAATTACTGGTGGTAGGACCTCTTGTGAGTCCGCACGGGTAGGTACCACTGCCCCGCCTATTTCTGCCGTGAAGCAGTAATGCGTTTCGGTTTGAAGGGTGGGGCAGCCGTTGTGACTATACTGAGACCTTAGAACTATATCTCAAGGTGTGTGGCGTATTTACGTTGTAGATGTCTATGGGCTCCAGTAACCACTTAACGCCAGGTGGGCTGTGAGCTCCTCCACACATCTAAGCAATAAAAAAATTATATATATATAGCTCATAGCACAACAATATCGCATACCATACATTGTTATGGACACTTTCACACTGTCCTGTACTATATATTATTGGCTAAGTATACGCTGCTATACTATATGGCACTATGGTATAGCGTAGCAGCTTTATACGCCTCTTTCACTGGGATTATTTTATTAAAACGATGGATACGAAGTACTCTAATCGCGACATATTCAGTATAAGTTATCATAAATCAAGCTGTCTGGCTACAGAGTAATCTCACTCGCTCAGTGGAAGATCTTTCCTTATCGATAACACCCAAAGTACCATAATGCTACCGCTTCACCTGCGTTAGCGTTAATATTAATGTTAATGGCGAACTTCGCGTTAATTAACAATGCGCGTTGGCTACATTAAGGCTCCACGACCATTAAGACTTAATTCCTCGTGAATTAACGCGTTAACACACAACACTCACAATGGAGCTTGAAGCAGCTACACTAGTTGCGACAATGAGCGTCATAAGACTCATAAATTATTACATTAATGCAATTTAAAAAGAGAGAATAGGTATGGGATTGCAATTTTGGATTCCAAATGCTCTAATTGCAATAGCTCTAAAAACTTTTGACGCCTTTTCGTTCGATCACTCCATTGTTGCTGTCCATTTTTTTGTATATTGCTTTTATGGGTAGACGAGCTCACAGCCCACTTGGCGTTATGTGGTTTCCACCGGAGCCCATATACCTACATCTACAACGTAAATGCAGCCCACCAACTTCGAGATATGAGTTCTAAGGTCTTAGTTTTTACAGTACAACGGCTGTCCCACCCTTCAAATCGAAACGCATTACTGCTTCACGGCACAAATAGGCGGGGTGGTGGTACCCACCCGTGCGGCCGGACGGACGGATAAGACGTCCTACCACCAGTAGTATCTCAGATTCCGAAACCGGATCTATTATAATGCGTTCTGTATATTATTAGCCTTGCAGATCGACTCCGACTTCTTTCAACTTCCGTAAAATTCAAATAATAAATGCATAAATTCGTCTCTTGAATCATTTAATTAAGTATAAACTTAAAAGGTTATTTTTAATTAATTTGTAAATTCTAATGTATTATTTAAACAAAGTTGACCTCGGTCGCAGATCTGCATGCATTTGTTAAAATTACCAACGAATTTAAGAATTAACGCGTTCGTGGCCAAAAGTTTTAGGTTAGGACTGGGAATGACTTAGCACATATTTTTTTTCTCTTACTCTCTTACTTTTTTCTTATTATCAGCGTTCTGATGTTACGTGTACAGTCTGTTCATCACTTATCGTTAATGTGAACTATTTTGGTATCATCCTGCCTATTTATAATGCGAAACATTCAAGCGTCTATTCGTGACTTTTTGGTACTATCCTACCGGTTTGTATCGCGAACCTTTCACGTGTTTAAACGTGACTCGAGTGCGCGGTGCCGTACACATTTTTCTGTTTCATCATCATCAACAGCCCACAGTCGTCCACTGCTGGACATAGACCTCTCCTAACCCACACCACTGAATTTTTCTGTTTAGGGTTTCTGATTATATGACTAAAGTTCAAAATTGAGTCCAGGTAGCTGACGATGACACTTGACGTCCCTTCGAAAAATCACGATTCAGTGACAAAGACATGCACCATTTTAAGTCTGTACCTTTTTTTAATGAGGGATTACTAATGGCCCGGAGGCTTTTCCAGTTTCACCTGGACAGGTGGGCGAGCAAAGGCTCAGCCAGGAGGGGTGGGATTTGCTAATCGCTGCCCGAGCGTCCAAAGGAGACCTAACAACTCAAGAGCAGCTGTTTCGCAAGTGAATCTAATACCGGATCGGATTCGCGACATGCAGAGAATATCCGGCGAGAAACTCAGCGGGCTGACGCATAGGTTAGGTTGCACGTCGAACTGTTTGCCGAGTTCCACGAGTATGGTTACCGTGGTCCCTAAGCCTGCTTAGAGCTGAAGGCGTCTAAAGCAAGAGTTATTGGATCTGATGTTTCCGTTATTTTTTTCCTACCTATTCTGATAGCTTTGAGATGCTATTTCAACTTCTCTTTGACGTGTAGGTGAGCTCACGGGGCTCAAACCGTAGTTTTGCTAACATTGGCCCTGGTAAGAGTAGCACTTCGCAGAATTTACCACCGGATCGGAAATGCGACCCACTGAGAAGATCCCGCGAGAAACTCTGTGGGCTGTGTCTATGGGTTAATTTACTCGTCGAGCCCTTCGTCGCAAGCAACGGGTTCGGCGAGGACGGTGACCGATGCATGAGGTACCGCTAATGGATCGGGAGGATCCGTAAGGACGTGTCTAGGGCAGTTTTTACCATTTGGTATACATAAACTGTGATATAGTGCAAATATTTATTTTTATATTTACTAACAATCACGCCACGTTAACTTGGTCCCGTGCTAAGTTCGTAAAGAACTTGTGTTACAAGTACCAAATAACGGAAATAAATATAATATTTTTATTATACACATACATATATTTAATAGACACCCTTAACCCTGGAAAGACATTTATATTTATCATACAAATATCTTCCCTTGGCGGGTTTGGAACCCGCGACCCCCTTGTGTAGTGACCATGTCACTTACCACTACACCAGACGGCCGTTTCAAATGTTTTGTCGGTAGGAATATCACTTCTTCGATCCTCTTGCTTCGTTCATAAAACTGAGCATAATAAATAAGCACAACGTTTTCATTTGTTTATTATTCAAAAGATAGCATCTTAATGTTCGCGACGAGGTTGCATTTATGCCCTCGGTGCTGCATGTTACGAATATTTTATAGTGATGGATGATAAGACTACATGTCGACCTAGGAACTTAATGCACTTTGTTTATTTTTCTTTGTTTATTTGGCTGTTTCCACTGCTACTGTTATCAAGTGAATCAATCTGATGTAAGATTTTTTTGTGATTCAAAATAAATTATCGACTATTACGACTCTTATCTACAATTTATCGGTATGTTATAGCGCATAAGTGATGATAATTTACAAGATTCGTTGCATTTCAATCATAAATAAATTTTATTCATAAAAAGATTTTTTTTTCTAAAACCCATTAGTAATATTACGAAATTTCAATTAGTCTATTATCAATTTGATGGACATCCGTGAAGAATAAAAATGTTTAATATATGGACAAATGAAATCACTGTAAAATGGCGGTCATAACTGTAAGGACAGAAGAATGGTAAAATAAAATCACTGTTTTTTGCCATTTACAAAAAAAAAAATCGAGCACTTCGTCTAGGATGCTACGTGGCTGTGGCCATGAGCAATATTGACTGCTTATCATCAGGTGTATCGTACGCCTGTCTACCTACAATAGCATTTAAAAATATTAATATACGAATATTTAATGCAACAACGTCTATTTTTTTTAATACGCTTTTATTAGCTTCAGACGTATGTATGTATGTTTGTAACGGAATCTTTGAACATGATTTTGACCCCCTTCAATTAATTGTCTAGAACAGGTATTAAATAATTATGAAAATAAAAACACCAAATTTTATATTAACTCGAAACAACGAAGTTCAAATTCAATTTATTTCTCTACTCTTTTCATTAAGTTCAAACACAAAAGCGACCAAAGCTAGGAAAGTTCCAATTGTAAAGACATACCACGGAATCGCAAAACGCGAAACGAAATACTTTTGACGGTGGCGATGTACCAGGCCGTTGATGTAGTTCTGATAGTCTCGGTGATACCAGATCAGTCCCGCTTCCCTGATGCGGAGAGCTAGCCGATGGAATCTATAGTGCAAGGGAAATCCTTTGTACGTAAATATACCGTAGATAACCTTCGCTACTGGCTTGCTGAAGCTATAAACGTTAGGATCGCCGAATTCATCAACGAATTTATTTTTATTATACATATAAATTGTATTCATGACGATAGTGTATAGATATTTGGATTTGCTTACTGTCATTATGCTTCCCAAAATAGTTTTGCAGCTTTGTATTTTCTCATTGTATTTAATTTCGTTTTCTGGTAAAAAGTTGATGATGGCACGGCTTATGCACGGCTCGATTCCTCGCTCCACCAGCGTCTCCATGTCGGCGATCTGCGTTTCCAGACTAGGTTTCGTCGTGAAACTCATCATGCTCGTTTGATAAAAACTATTCACCAAATACGTGAACCATATCCAGAATATGAAGATGCATCTAACACTCAATCTGAAACGTAGCTTGTAGCCGTGGAGGAAGAAGTAATCCAACAACTTCAACAGAATGTACGTTTTGTCTTGCTCCCGCAGTAAATATGCTACAATCACAGTGAACAGTATGAAGACTACGATCAATAATGCCCAGACCCTGAAGTCGAATTCGCGGTAGTAGAAAGACCAAACGGGCTTCAATGACGCTTTTTGGATGACGACACTGATCTCGTCTATATAATCTACATGTGTGTAGATGTAAGAGAACGCAGCGGCTCGGAGCGGAACGAGAAGCATACCGCCTATCATCAAATCCGTTAAGTTTCTCTGCAGCATATCCATAGGGCCTGTGGCTTTCATGTCCTCGTCAACAGTTGAAAATACATCCGCATCATAGTTATACTGGTAATTAACTTTGAACTTCTCGATTTCTGCTAACACATTAATAGTGTATTGTTCGATTCCAATTGGTATTGATGGTTTTGATATCTTCCCCGGATCCACAGTATAAGGAGGCCAGTGAGGTAAAGACACATTGAATATACAATCTCTCAAACCTGTGACCAGTTTATTCGGATACAGTTCAGTGGATGTGTTTATACATTTTCCGTAATTAATGATACCGGTATAGTACTTCCCGCAAGCGTAATTTTCGTAAGGATTGTACGACAAAATATTTGGGTCGTTAGTTCCGTTCGCGATTACTACATTCAAAACGTGATGTTTTAGTAGGATATCGAAAACATCTTTAACGTTTTCTTGTTTTAATTCTTTGAATACAATTAAAAATTTTAATTTTGGATTCCACGTTGCGTCTTTAGTTAGGTTTTCGAATTGTTCAACGAATACCTTTTCGGTTCTGACTGTTATCAGATACATATCGTTTAGCAAGATTGTCTTTTTGGTTACGTTTCTATTAATAAAATTGAATTTACCAAACGAATTGATCAATTTCGGTATTCCCCCGTCAAAATCCATTGATATCAATGTAATAGTCTTTTTATCATTGAAATAATTACTTAAAACAAATCCAGTGCAATTCACAACATCGTTGTCCTTATTAGCGTCGGTCAATACGTCATTAAACATTGTTTCTATATTCACAAAATCTTTTTGCATATTAATTTTGTCATGTTCAGAAACGATACATTTAGATAGAACAAAGACGAGCAAATACACGACTAACATTTCGAGGAACCAGATTATGTATGTTCATTTCGTATTGTCGTTAATGTATTCATAATAACTAATTGTTCTAGTTTGCTTCATTTTTCACCAATCCATTAACAGTATTCGTTTTTCATTTGTCACTGTCCGTATTTAGATAAGTTTACCATTAAGGTCCCGTGTCTCTGCGTTTACGCATTACCTACTTAGAGCGACATAGTACTTTATCTCTTAACTGATCTAACCTTCCCAAGCTCACCGTTTTAAGGTTTACCTTTAACCATGCTCAGCTTTCTTGAGAGTCCTGAATTGTCTTTATTGTTATTCCAAATTTATCATAACGATCATTTAGAAGAACGTTATGATATTTTTGGCTATTGCAATTAAAATTTATATTCGGAGTTTGAAAAATGGTTTTGACAACTTTGTTTTAGGTAAAAATTGATTGTAGGCAAATTCTTCCCATATATATTTTGTAACTTGACATTATTTGTTCTCAATATTTACTGTTGATACGAGGGTGGCACTGAAAATTTCGGGAATTAACGAAGTGACACAACATTACTATTTAAAAATGTATTTATTGCTTTTCGAAGTATTCTCCGCGAAATTTGACACATTTTTCCATACGATGGAACCAATCATTGAAGCAACCATTCCATTCGGAAGTTGGGGTCTCCAAAATGGCCGTTTTGTAGGCGTCCACAGCTTCTTCAGGTGATGAAAATCTCTGTCCACGCAATTTATTCTTTATTTTAGGGAAAGTATAGAAATCATTAGGGCTTAGATCGGGGCTGTACGGCGGATAGTCTAATAATTCTATGTTTTCTTGCTCTAAAAACTCTTTTGTTCTGTGCGCGGTGTGAGAACTCGCATTGTCGTGATGGAGGATGATGCGGCGGTTGCAGTTCTCTTTACGGAGTTCAGAAACGACTTGTGGCAAACAAATGCTAGCATACCATTCTGCATTAACCGTTCTTTGTCCCTCAAGAGGAATAGTCGTAACATGGCCGGTTTTGGAGACAAACGTGGCCACCATTTTTTTTTGCAATACTCCGTGAACGAACAATTTTTGTTGGCTTTAACTCATTTTCGAACACCCAAACTCGTGACTGGTTTTTTGTTTCGGGTTCGTACGCGTATATCCAGGATTCGTCACCTGATACAATGTTGTATACTTACAGCATTTGAGGAGCCTGCGTGGAATCTTTCGAGAGTTCTGACGCACCAAGTAACGCGAGCCGCTTTTTGCTCTTCACAGAGCGAATGCGGTATCCATCGGGAAAACAACTTTTTTACACCTAATTGTTCATGCAAGATTATTTGTATTTGACTCATGCCAATGTCTAAAGTTGCCTGAATTCGCGGTATGTCACATGTCGATCTTCCTCAATCAGCTTACGCACAGCATCAACGTTTTCTTGGGTGACTGCAGTTTTTGGACGACCGTGACGGGGATCATCTCGGGGGTTGACGGGGTTGAAACTCAGCAAACCAGCGATAAATTGTGGTTTTGGTGGTCAACACACTGTTTTTGTGTTAAACCACTTCGAAAGTCATAATAAATCATCGCTCTTGAATTTTCTCGAGTCAATTCCATTTTCTCAACGACTAAACAAGTTTGACAAAACCTCGTGACAAGACCGAGAATCTTTTTTTAAATAAATAAATGGTTTCGATTTTTAAAACCAAGGAGTTTTCAATTAAAAAGATTTTAATATGACAGGAACAGTGGAAATATTCCATTCCCGATACTTCTAGTGCAGCCTAGTAAATCTCGAAATTAGAATCATAAGGTTAATTATACTTGATTTCAATAATTTTCAAATCAGCCCGGTCGTCAAAAGGAAATAAAACGTAGATACCTACCCTTATTTGATGACTTTATTTGTGTATTAGGTATTGTGATTTTATGTATGTGCGTGTATCGAAGTCAATGAGAAAAAATATAGTTTAATGATTACATTAACTTTTGAAAAAGTAAATTAAAATTGATTAGCATAATTTATTCAAGACCAAAGATAAGCTTTTGGCAAAAAAATTAAATAGCATTTTAATTAATTTAATTTTTTTACTCTAAATGAGCATTTCAATTTGACATTCTTAATTTCCGCGGGAACGCTACCTGTGTTGATGCGTGAGATCACTGAGCTGTAATAATTACGAGTTATACTTGATTCGGATAAACTATTCATCAGGTTTGAGCCCCGTGAGCTCACCTACTAGTTAAGGTTCCGCTGAAATAGCCTCTCAAGGCTATCAGCTTAGGTAGGAATAAACAAAAAAAAAAAAAACTAATCGAAAATGCTTAAATTGATACTTTGAATTTTGCCACGAAAGCAAGTACATACTTTTTGTTTGTGACATTGAGAGATATGTGTTGTGAATTATTTATGTTTATAAATTATCTGTTTTTACTATATAATCGTGTAATTCTAATATTTATTAGTTTAGTGTTTGTGAAATTACAAATTAAAATGTTAAAAACATCAATAACAAATTCTTCAATTGTTCAAAGTGTTCATGTACGAGTAAGTTTACTGGATTCCGTAAACTGTACATGCCCCAAAATACGCAATAATACCCAACTACATTATCAGTACTGTGCGAAGAATATACTTGGGAATACACAGAGCGCGAGTTCCACTCGCACTTATCCGGTTTTTTGTATATTTTTGTACAAATAATGTTTTGTCCATCAAAAGTGAAATCGAGCCGACTGTGAATATTTGTGTGACACTTATTTCACATCCCAATAACCATGGCGTCATTGATATCCATGACGGTTGCAACATGACGATGCAAAAAATGTATACAAGTTCAATCTTATATATTACAAGGTGAATAAAGCGTTGTCTAGGACTTTCGAAATAACTACATAGCAGAATGAATGCGTCTGATGTATTTTTTGGTTTACTTTTACTACCAAGGTCGCTTGGAACTCGTTGGTGAAGCAGAAACGGTTTTGCGTGTTTACGTCTGCTACGTATTTGGATCCATTTGCCTATTTTTATTTTAAAATTGACATTGACAGCCACAGACAACCTTAAAAAAAATAAACACGGTTTTTTTTTTCTAGTTGGTAAAATTGATAAAGTGGTTATGTATTTTAAGCTAGTACGGGTTAGCACTGCCGTCTTGACTATTTTTGCCGCGAAGCCCTCTGCGTTCTGTGTGCTTAGTGCGAGTTTTTAACGTTCTCGATAGAGTAAACGTTAGCCCAATTTTATATGCAGTTGCAGTTGGAACAGCGCCCCTAACGGCAAAACGTAGGCAAACGATCCCATTCCATACAAATATGAGCTAACTTTTATGCTATCGATAACGTTAAAAAACTCGCACTAAGCACACTGATTCGAACGTTTTTAAATAATATAATAAGTGAGACTTCGATCTAAAGTCTCTAGGTGGGTGATGGCATTGACGTATTGATACAGGCTCCGGTAACTGTACAATAAATGGGTAGTCAGTTTGTTTGCCAATTTACGAAATAAATCAATAAAACAGTGTAGCATTTTTATTTTCAATTGCATACAAACTATAAACATAAAACAATCATAGTACTTAAACAGCGACAGTAACTCGCGAGTATCTAATAAACTGCTTACAGGAATATCCACTCAAAACTAAAAGCAATAACGACTAAACTTGTCTAAACACATACATAGGACAGATAAAAGCTATGCAAAGAATTATAGATGCTGTCGTTCTTAGAATAAAGGGGATTATGGAATGATCTAACGCAACGCTAATGGGAGCATAAGGGCAACGAACTGTGCTGTATAAAGTATTGCCTATAGAAGGCTAGACCATAGATTCAATAACGACTGTGCGCTTACTATAAACTTTAACATTCACACGAAACTATCATTATATTATTATGGTTTTCGTCCATAAAACGATTTACGGCCAAGTTAACAAATCGAAGTGGTTTCCGATAAAATTGACGGAATATCTTTCACAGAGAAATGAAATGCTTATACTGTTATTTGATATTTATTTTTGTCTCGGATATATGATTTAATTTCGTCTAGTGTGCCATTGAGTTTACGATAAACTAAAGTGGTATCAACACGTTATGCTCATCAAAATAATCCATAACTATAGTAGGTATACGCGGTCCGTTAAAAAATCTAAGCGGCAATTTTCTAAGTCCTGATTTAAGATGTTGACTCGTCGAGTGGAGTTATAGACAAAAAAAGTCTGATATTTGGATGGAAAATTATTTTGTATTATTATATTACAGGGTATCCCTGTTCTGGTCAAAGATTTACCTCCGGGCTCGGAGGTTTGGAGAGTACAGTGACCGAGTCATGTTGCCTCAAAATTCGCACACCTAACCGACATCAATGTCAATGATACAATGGGGTGATGTTCTTTCAATTCCAAATCCGGTCCCAAAAAAGGGCAGGGTAGAAAGAAAAAAAAAACGCACAACACATTCCGACTCGAGCAGCCGAACGGTGTGGAGCTCTCTGTGGTTGTTGTTATACACTTGAAATTGAATAAAATTAATTATTTGAAAAAGTAAATCTTAGTTACTGTCACTATGGAAGGCAATGATAATGATGAAGATGACATTATCATTTTAAAAACACTATGGAAACAGCCTCTCTGTCATATACGTTTAGAAATCATCAGAAAATACTATTATATTAAGATTAAATTGGTTATTATCTTGTAACGCGAAGTTTAAATGAGGTGTAATCCTTATTCAAACTAATTCAGGTTTCATATCCTAGAGGGATTTGGGCTTGACCTTTTTTTCTACTTACTACATGTATGTATGTCAATGGAAGACGTAAATACATATAATTCAATACGTCATTGCTTTTTGTGCCAAGCTTTTTACAATAAAGTAAATTAGAGGCAACAAAAAAATGGGCAGTTAAAATAATGTTATTGATTTATATTTATTTAAAATTTATGTTTCCGTGAGTATTTTGTTTTAAATTTGATTTATGAGTTTCCCGCGTTTCCTTTGATGGTGAAAAGTAGGGTTTATTATATTATATGCAGAAAACGTAGTGCTCTTGCATGAAATATTAGGGAAAATACAATTGTATGTACTATAAATATCCTAAACATAGATTAAAATTAACTAGTTAACATCGTACAGGGTACTACGAATAAAAAATAAATAATTACTGAAGTTTTTACTTCCAAAATATTTATTAAGGTCCAGCTGTGGAATGACTTGCATCCCAAAAAAAAAAAACGGATGCCATATACAAGATGACTTTTACAGCCAATTAATTTTCGCAACCATAATTTTCGTAACTTGATTTTTCTTTTTATCTGTTTTTATGTAAATCGTTTTCCTGGCCTTGATCTTTTTGGCGAGTCACACCTGATACCACATTGCCGTCTGTTAGAGATCAGTAGCTATATAGTAGAATTGGAGCTTTTATTTCGTTCGTACATTAAGAGCTTCTCACTAAGTCAAATCGTTTCGAATCAACAATTTTCATGCATTCCTTATAGTTATATTTCATTCTACATCTACAGATGTTATGTTTTTTAAGTTATACTTCTTTAGGCGCGTTATGAAAAATTAATGAGAGTGAAATTTTACGATGCGCGCGCACCGTGACACGAAATTAACAGAATGAAGTTGCCCACTAAATCGCTCATTACAATACGACCGACGTAACTTGGCGAGTCTGAATATTATACCCGCAGGTGAACTTTCCGAACCGTACCGATAATTACCGAATTTATACGATGTCATGAAAAGGGATGTCCAATATGCGTGTTTGAGGATGTTGTTTAATCGATTTTTTTTCAAATTGATTAAAATTTAAATAAAAAAAAAGAAATAAATTTAATAAAAATAAAGTATAAATTCTTACGCCCGTACATAAGTACACGCACCCTTTTTTTATGATCTGCTATCCAGAGAGAAGGTGTATGGTTTGAATGCAAACCGCTTCTCTTATTAGCTACGGAACATCTTGTTTCTACGCGATTATAAATATTTTAATTACCCAATTTTCCTGACGCACTTCGAATGTTTATAAAAAATATATGCTATAGATATGTGTAAAAAATTCGTTTTTAATGGCAAGCTTCAATTATTTTTTTCATACGCAGGTCTTGTGTAGATGTTGCCCACTGGATCCTATGCATCTTTGGACTCAATTGAGTAAATGGTTGAAAAATAGATACCAAACAAGAGTGAACGATTTCTTCGCGTTAGAAATTGACCTGACAGTGATACTAACCCGTGCAAATGAGAACCAGGGAGAGAAGTGTTATTAAGGATAATAATAAGGCGTTAATACTCAACATCTTAGCTGTGGCGTCTGGTATTGCTCACGTCCAAGACCTATGTTGACCACGTACCATCAGACCTTTAAAAATTTACGATGAAGGTAAAACAGTGGGACCGAGGACTGGACTATTACTGGTGGTAGGACCTCTTGTGAGTCTGCACGGGTAGGTACAACCACCCCGCCTATTTCTGCCGTGAAGCAGTAATGCGTTTCGGTTTGAAGGGTGGGGCAGCTGTTGTAACTATACTGAGACCTTAGAACTTATATCTCAAAGTGGGTGGCGCATTTACGTTGTAGATGTTGTGGGCTCCGGTAACCACTTAACACTAGGAGGGCTGTGAGCTCATCCACCCATCTAAGCAATAAAAAAAAGGATTATACCTGTATCTGCTGACGACAAATCAGAGAAGGCGTAACGTGAGCCGCTAAGGATGGGTACAATTATTTCATATTCTATTCCTGCCACAAAGCTATCATACATTCCGGTTTGTAGAGAGGATCAACCGCTAAGCTGAGGCAGCCATCAAGTTGCAATGAAACACTTAATACAAAAGAAGGCCATGGTTTCATACGCCCGGCGACTATAAAAATCATATTTTTTAATAAAATCCGATCATGGTCAACGATTACTAGTTAACGAAAAAAAAAATACACATTTGTTAAAACTCTCAGTCCCAATTTCCGTATGTTGATGATATTATAACAAAAGTCTACCCTAAGGTATCATCAACAATACCATATTTCAATTCAATTAATCGTACATCGTAAGACGTGCGCGCGCATGTTTCTCGACCAATAAACTCAGAGACGTTCGCATTATAAATAAACATATTCGCCATAGATACAAATCGCTACTTTACAATAGTTAACATTAGGCTGAATTATTGTCACGCTTTGTAATCAAAAAACTGTTCTATTTAAGTTAGATGCATTCATTCTATGTCACCGTCATTAATGCATTGCGTAGATATTAAATACTCACCCATTCAGTCTTGTGTTTAATCTATGTTCAGTATTTATTCGATTGGCGTCGGTGGCGGGCGGTTCCCGCGTTGCGTTAGCCAAACACGAGAGAATAACGTAAATTGACTTAAAAGACTATTTTTGTATGGTGATATTATTTAGTTTAATCCCGTGTTCAATATTTTTCCGTATCGTTAAAAAAATATATACTCGCAATTGAATAACCCTCTTTATTGAGTTTTTTAAACGGCCCAGCGGGAACAGTTTCATGTGCATTATTGTTTTTGTGTTGCGTTAAGTTATGGTAAAGATCTTTTGTGTATTTTGATTAAAAAATATAATTCTACTCGTGAAATCTAATATATTGGAAGTGGATTCACAGCCTTCCTCTGTGTTTTTGGCTTTTTATCTTTGATTACATTATCAAACATATCGGTTGTGATTGGAAATATTCATCCAAACAAATGCACATAAAATATGCATTGTCTGTGTGTTATATTTAGCGGACTGTTTATTTAACCGCGTTCCAATCTTAGAAAAGACTGAAGTGACGTTACTTTCAAAGTTAGAAAGAGGATTTTTCTCTAAATAATAAGATCCAAATTTAATTAAAATATGATCGTTCCTTCTGGCACAACTATTTAGCGCGTGTTTCACTATTTTTAATTGCAATTGCAAAATAAAACTTAAAATATATTTTGTATTATGACGGTGCCAAAAAAATAAAATTTTACCAGAATTATAGGAATATTTGTACGGTATACCACGGCGATGCCTCAGAATTATTTGCTTAGTTGAAGTCAAAGTGAAGAGTTTACTCATTAGCACGGCATCACGCAATAATAATTCGTTTATGCATGTAGATTTTATTTATAATCGATTATTAAATATTATTCTATAAGATCGACTTATAGCCCGATGCTAAGATGGTTGCTGTTATCTATCAGCAATGTGAATGGCACCGCGAGACCTTGACACATAAGACTGAAGTTTCAATTGCATTAGTGTGATGGTAGGCCCAGCGAACCCATGATTACTGCCGTAAAGTTAGACAAGGAAGTAATAGGAAGAGATACGCGTGATAAATAAATAAGTTTGATTGTATTTTCGCACGAACCCTTCAGCCATAGTCCACCGAGTGGTCAATAGGTACCGTGGTCATTAGACGTGGATGCTGTCGTTTATCTTAAGCTGTGAAGTCGTAGTTATAGTTAAATGATAAGTCAGAGTTTCTACTTCTTTAATACACACGCTAATTAAAATAACAAAGCCTTATAACCCTACTTAGTATTTAATTATTGGAGGTCAGGGATTAAGGTGTAATATAGGAAAATAGAAATACTGCTATTATGGCTACTGGTAATGCTTATGATAGTGGAGAAGGAACAGTAGATCTAGGAGGTCACGGTTTGACAGACTATCATCACGACTCACAAATATTAGTACATGTTCAGAACTGTATAAATTGAAAATACGTAACGTAACGGTAGGCAACGGCTTGGCTCTGCCCCTGGCATTGATGAAATCCATGGGCGACGGTAACCACTTACCATCAGGTGGGCCGTATGGTCGTCTGCCTACACGGGCAATAAAAATAATTTTGATAACATTTAAGACGAAGAGAAGATCTTCCGAACGTTGTTGTTCGAATCTTGCATATCAGAAGAAATGCAAGCCTATTTTGAAAATGTCGTTAGCGCGATTCAGGTTTTGGCCATAATTTGTTTATTTTATGATAGCCATCACTACATTATTGAGATTTCGAACTGGTGTCTTATGGTTGGTGGTCTCCGCCAAACACAGCTATCATCGTTTATCCGAATATCCAATCAAAAATAATTAAAAACCGTGAGGAACCACGAAAATCGATTCACCTTCACTGGTAATTAAAAATTAATCGAATGTCATTATTTTGAAATAAAAACCCTATGTTTATTGCTCTGTCAAAGTCGACCGATGTCATGCGAGCACTAACTATTTCACAATTGAATTTCGTAACAAATGCATGATGCATACGTTGAAACGATACGAATGCGGTGTTTAAATCACAATTATAAATAACGAAAACTAATGGTGAGGTTTTGTGACATGTGCCAATGCAATTACGGTTCAATATCGTTTGATTCATTTCGTATTTCCGACTTTTCGGATACTCCACTGATGATAAGCCCGGGGATCTTACACGATAAAAGTCTGTCTTAGTGTTGATTAGAAGGTACTTCGAGGAGCTACCTATTTTGCCTCTAATCGACATCAAAAGCGCTAGGGTTGCAGTCAAAACGCTGCTTAGTATTATAATTATATAGACATTCCTCCGGGTAATACCGTGGAGAGGAGTTAATTCCAGAGGCATATGGTCCCTGTCTAAAAATCCTTTGAAACAGAACTGCACGACTGTTTTCACGGTAGAAATTGGCAGGGTGACGCTACCTATAGGTAGCTTGTAACAAACTATTCCAAAATAGAATAGATGATATTATCTGCTATTCCTCAGAGTAGGTACTACTAATTTATGTATATTATATGTTTCAACCTTAAATATTTAATATCTATACTAATATTATAAAGAGGAAAGATTTGTTTGTTTGTTTGTTTCGAATAGGCTCCGAAACTACTGGACCGATTTGAAAAATTCTTTTTCCATTAGAAGCCGACATTGTCCCTGATGAACATAGGCTACTTTTTTTTTATTTATTTTTTTGGTTTCATGTGTGTTTTAATGTTTCCGAAGCGAAGCGAGGGCGGGTCGCTAGTCATTTTATAAATTGAAATATTTGACTCGAAAATCAGATCATGGATATGTCTTTATAATACATTTAGATTTATTCTTGGATAGATGACCTTTATTAAAAAAAAAAGACATTATTTTCGCATTCAATTCAGAATGTTTTATTACAAGCTATAAATAAAACCACTTGTAATTAAACTATAGTGAACACACGCTTGAATTGTCAGTTTCAGATTGATTATTTTCCCGCGAGCAGGCGTCTGGGTTTACGGTCGTAATTATATTATTATCAACAATGCAATTATATTCGGTTGTACAAGAACATGAATTGTTATATTTTTGTAATCAAGTAGTTAATTACATTGCTTTTTTTAGTCAAGGAATGGAGTTCGCGATTTTGAATAACGCAAAATTCGGCATCATGTTTATAGATATCTACTGGTGGTAGGACCTTTTATTATTATTATTATTATTATTATTATTATTATTATTATTATTATTATTGTTAACACTTTATTTCAGTTTTTTTTTTTTTTTAAAACCATAACATTTTGTTAGTATGATTTTATGAGTCCGCACGGGTAGGTACCACCACCCCGCCTATTTCTGCCGTGAAGCAGTAATGCGTTTCGGTTTGAAGGGTAGGGCAGCCGTTGTAACTATACTTAGAACTTATATCTCAAGGTGGGTGGCGCATTTACGTTGTAGATGTCTATGGGCTCCAGTAACCACTTAAAACCAGGTGGGCTGTGAGCTCGTCCAACAATCTAAGCAAAAAAATAATTAAAAAAAAATCTATCTTCCCTATGCAATACGAAGTTGCAATTTTCAGGAAATCTTCTGATTGATTCAGCGGCTTATTCTCTGAAGTTTAATCGCACCAAAGTCAAATCAAAGATCGGCTAGCCAAGCAAGCCGTGTTTGAATATATCGAAGGGCGATGGGCTTAAGCGACATTTTTGCTACTTTACACGAGAACCATTTAAAATTTAAAATTTGAAAAACATATCATAACCAAAAACCTCTTCGGCTATTTCAATGGAGTAAACCTAATTGAAATTCAATTAAAAACATCGAACACTTGATGCTAACACCAAATAAAACGCACCTTTAATTACAAATACTTTTTTTTTCTACCTAAGCTGATAGCCTTGAGAGGCTATTTCAGCGGAACCTTAACTAGTAGGTGAGCTCACGGGGCTCAAACCTGTATGACGACGTTGCTAACACGAACCCTAGCAAGAGCCGTGCTACGCAGAATCTACCACCGTATCGGAAACGCGACCCACTGAGAAGATCCGACGAGAAACTCAGTGGGCTGTGTCTGTGGGTTAATTTACTCGTCGAGCCCTTCGTCGCAAGGGACGGGTTCGACGAGAACGGTGACCGGTGCTTGAGGTACCTAAAAGCACCGTTAGTGGATCGGGAGGATCCGAAATGATGTGTTTGGTTACAAAGAAAAATGTCGCGTATTAAGGGAAATGTCGCTTAAACCAAATAGCCTTTCACCGCTCGGTATATATTATTAGTGAGAGAGAGAGAGAGAGAGAGAGAGTATTCTTTATTGTACACCAAAAAACAAATAAACAGTGCGATACATTAAACACAAAAAAGTACAATTGGCGGTCTTATCGCTAAGAGCGATCTCTTCCAGACAACCATCAAGTGGACAAAAATCATTTGGAAACGAACTACGCGCGGAGTACCATTCCAGTGAAATACATATACATATATGTACATATACATACACACATACATATCTCCGTAAATATACATACAATTAATACACAAAGTATTATAATATAATAATAATTACTAAAAATAAAAAATTAATTAATTTTCTAAAGTCTAGTATTTTCTACGATACTCGCGGGTCATAGACTTAATTAAGACTATTTTTTACGGTTTAATCTCACGCTCATTGTTTTCATTTTATTATTTCCTTTTTTACAATACTTTACACAGTTTTCGTGGTCTTTTTTATTTTTTATTGCTTAGCTTTATTGGTCACGGAAGACTGAGATCTACGGCTTACTTTTATTTAACAGTAAACCCGTTACTAAAATAATATAAAACAAAAGTAATTTTAATTAAGTATATATTATTATGTATACCATTATTATGTGTAACAATGAGCGTGTGATTAAACCGTAAAAAATAGTCTTAATTAAGTCTATGACCCGCGATTACCGTAGAACATACTAGACTAATATATACCGAGCGGTGAAAGGCTATTTAGTTTAAGCGACATTTCGCTGAAAACGTGACATTTATCTTCGTAATCAAAGGTTTTTTAGGCGTTTTATTTAGTGTTATGCCGGCCACTGACACGCGCGCAAATATTCGTACATTGTACGAATGTTTGCGCGCATGTGAAGGGCCGTCAAACATTCATTCGCAAACCTAGCGGCTGTGCAAATTGAGTATGCGAACCCGTTTGCGCTTCCTCCTACACTTGTTTACGAATGTCTCACGAATTTCTCCTCATTTTTAATTCGTCAATAGAACATTGAAGAGAAAAAGAGTTTTTAATTCTTTCCCAGACATCATTAACAGCCATGCCGTTTTTATGGGAT